AATATCTATAACTGATTTTGGAATAACCAAACCCTAATATGCATTATAACATTGATTTTGTCATAAAAATATATAAAATGATGTATGCTAACGAATATTTAAAAATCAAGCGTAAGAGAAACTGAAACAATGGGTAGAACGGTGGGAAGTAGATGAGCAACATGGTCGAACTGTACAAAGATATACTCCTCAGCTCCGGTTAACATTGGAATTACTTAAAATATCGAATATAAATACGCTTCCACCCTCCACCCTGTGTATCTTAACTTTTTAATACAAACAATATTAGGGTTGCCTGCTTGCTTTGTATGTGCAGGTGGGTAACGTTGACGTCTGATGCTCACACGGGAGATTGGACGGAGACCTCCTAACGCTTTCCGCACCCTCTTCTCCCGCGAAGCTGTAACCATCGCCTCTTTGCTCCCATCGTTCTGTTTGCTGAAGCTACTTAAGGTTGCTGTGGACGGCATGTCGGGGTCGAGTATCGTAGAAGACGCCTGAAATGGCGCAACAATCACAACGGTCAAGGTACCGTCCCGCCCTTGGCAGAGTAGGACAATGGCAATCTAAGACAACCAAATGCCAACTCGGGTGCCCCTTTTGCCTATCCCCATTGTGTTTTGCCTTTAGGGGCTTCCCGCGGGTTGCGATGGGTCTGTGGTGTTGACTGAGTGTTGCTTGGCGGCGGCGGAGTGGAGGAGACGAAACGCCCGCCCGCAGGCCATCGTTGTTGGGGACGGCGCCATGGGTGCACCCCGAGGCATTATCCACCTTAAGCGATAAATAGCTGTGGTCACCCTCAGGCGCCGCAAGGGAACCCCCTCCCCCCCACGTGCAAGTAGTAGGGAGAATTCACCGGAAACCAGGAGAGTCCTTTCGGCATTGGCGAAAAACGTGTTGAGCTGGAAAGGCGATGAAAGGGTACGAATGGATGTGAGTAAGACTGGGCGTGGCAACGTGTAACGGGGTGTGATGTATGTTTGATCTGAAACTTATTATCAGCTGATTTGCATCACTTTCGTTAAAAATTATCTATTTTCACAGGTTTGTTACAAAATATATTGTTTCGCTTTGAAGACTATGATATCGTTTAGTTTTTAAAAACTCTTATTTTGTTTAATTGATTTATTGTTTGCAATGATTCTTAATGCAGGATTTGGAGTTTGTAACTCCTCAAAGCTATATTTTTCGGTTTTATTTGGGAAGCAGTCTTAATTATTTTTTTCGTGTCATTAGTGTCGCGAACAAGTTTTACGCGTAATACTCTAACTTAGATACTCTTCCAATATGCATGGTATACTTGTGGATAGTATCGATCATGTTGTTTCCCTTTTTATTAAGTGAATTTAATTAAGTTTTCACTTTCTCAACTTTTATCTCCAAAGGCGTACATGAAAGCCCTGGCCCAGACACGCTTGACAACAAAAGCACAGATAATGAGACGTGACTGCCAGTATCGTAGGTTAGGTGTACTATTCACTGCGACTAAATAATTTGTTTTTATTGTAATCTATTTTCCTTTATCTAATGAAAAATGTCATTATTTTTCTAGTTCTAAATACTGGTTTTATATTTATTTAATCTTTCTTTTTGTTTTCTCTTTTATTTGCATTTCTTTATTTAATAATAACTACAATATTTAATAACTGTAAATAACTAGGAATTTATATACATAGCAGATATTTTCAAAACTTTAAAATATTTCATAACCTTTGCCTGAAATTGATCGATTATATTCAGATGGGAAGTGGCTTTTCCAAGCGCAAAGGTATCGAAGTCTTTCCAAAGGACAGCAATGACCATACGTCCGAAAAGAAAGATACGAGCATCTCTGGTCCTAGTACCATGGTTTCTTTGAGTGAAGAACAATTGGAAATCCAACCTACTACTGAGCCAGAAAAAAAAAAGTCAATTATACTAAAAACATCATTATTTGGGAAAAAAGATGAAACTGAAAACTTACCTCGTAGGTCACGTGTTTCAACTAGGATAGACGATGATATGGGATCGCATGCATTTCGTATCCAACGCATGGTTCGGGTACCAACAAAGGCAACTCTGAAAAATGATAGTCTGGAATGATTTTACCCTGGACTTGAACAAAACAAATTCGGAATATATATTAAGATCAACTAATATATCGAAATTATTGTATCGAAAATGTTAGAATAGATGTGAAAACGCTTTGAAGTTACTTAACAGACTCATGTGTTATTTTCATTTTATTTCTAATATACACTCGCTCTCCTGAAAAGTTTTTGAATGCTTGAATTCCCATGTGTTGTCTCCGATATGTAGGCTCCTTTCTATTGTCAAGTGCTGTATACTTAATTTATTAATTAAACGGAATATTTAGAAAAATCATATACTTATCCAGGAATAAAACTTCCTATAAAAGCGTTGGTATATGCATCGCTGCAAATAGCTATAAGACAATCCTTTTCGAATATTTAGTTGAATATACCACTGGTCTTTTAAAGATAATTTTGTAGTGTAGAATATTTTTAACACCCTTTACGATATGGATTTTTTATGGGGAGTTAGTTTATTAATTTACCAAGTAGACAACTTCATAATCTAATATCCAAAGTGGTGCGCTGCCCTAAGGTATTTAAAGTAATGGATATAAAATGTATATCATAAAATTACATCCATTTTGTCCATATTAAATTGTCATTGGTTTCACATATTAGGTTATTTTATTATTACGATCCTTTAGGTTAAAACAATTTCAGTCGTGACTAAGAATGTGTATGTGTATTGTGATCTTATTTTCCTATTTCTGTTCGGCAGTGGATAATAACTTAAATCAAGTCCTCCGGAAGGATATTCATCATATCTTCTTTCAAGTATATATATATGTACATATATATATATATATGAAAGACACACATTATTAGAATGCATTTCATGCTTCATTTGTTTCTTTCTCACATGAGTATTATTGAATATTTTACTATTTAATATTTGAAAAGGGTATTTTATTCTTACTTTATTGCAATATTTAGATAATAACTCGAATGGACTGCAAATCTGTGAACGCATTAATATTTGAAAAAATGACAAAATAAATTAATTTTGATATAGCTTCAGAATTTTTATTATCGTTCATTTTGCCTTTATGACGAAAAGGTGACTTTTAAACTCCACATCCCTATTTATAGTATTTATTTGAAGTGCACAACTCGTAAACATGGGATATACTTGTCTGTGCAGTAAAGGTGTTTTGAATCAACCTTTGAAACTTATATTTAATACAGAAATTGTGTATGCATTTTGACAATGCTTCCCCTTTATTCAAGGCCTGTTCTTCTAATACCTAGTTGCAATTTATTGTTACTATAAAGACAAATATTTAAATTAATTATGTGTATGTATAAATATACCTCTCTTTTGGTTCATCAAAATCTATACATATACGTGCAATTTATTCTTCGCACTCACAAGGGTATTAAAATTTTCCCATATTTAGGCTGTAAGCTTCTTATTTTACGCTCTATATAGTTAAAAAAGGAAAGGGCAAAGTACGATCCACGGACATGTGGCCTGGATCCAAAGGGTTTTCCAGAACCATCGTAAAAAAAGAAGCTACCAGTACTGTTACGAGTGTTATGCATGACTCAAATGAGTTCTTTTCCCCCAAAGATGGGGATGTCATCGTAGTGCATGAAACGTCAACGGTGCGAGAAGGGGCATCCAATGTAGTCCTTTGCGATCCACCTCCTTTCCATGGCATGTGCCCGCAGGTTGACGTCCGAAAAGATGCAGGACCTGTGGCGGTCCTATCCCCCACTCCTCCGCACAGCTCTGCCGTGGTTCATACTGAAACACACTCTCAAAACACATTACTGGATTGTACTAAAGAATCAAATTCACATCTGGCGTGGTGGAAGCGAATCGGAAAAAAGAAATGGTACCACACGCATCTAGCACCTCATTCAGTTCGACATTACCATTGCAACCCGTGTGTTTCAGACGTCAGGAATGAACTACAGCCAAAGTGCAACTTTCTCACATCAGAAAATGCGCGAAATACTTCACAAAATTCAAATGAAGGGCAAACCGATAAAAGTAACCCAATGGCAACCCTGAAGTCTGTATCGAACACTTATGATTTAATTCATGTTCAAGGAAACCACCCTGATCCCGATCAAGCCAATATGAACGAAGATGAGATAGATAGAAAGATCTCTTTTTCAACAACACCGTTGCTACTTGAGGCTCACAATGCAATTACAGATTCACTGCTAAAAAATGAAGTTCCCGAGAGTCAAACTATGTCAATTTCGTCTGATATGTTGCCTTTGCCAAGCTTTTTGCCAATCACAAGTGATGACATGGCAACCTTTTCTGCTTCCAGTGATTTTGGAAGTCGACATGAGGTATCTTCATTCTGCTACAGCAGAACACTGAGAGGTAAGGATAAATATTTCAATTTGACGCATCCACTTCACGACAGGGATAGTGCCTATCATTCGTTTCCACCATATTTTCCTAAAGAACGAAGGAAAAAAGAACATCTACTGCGTCCTGTGAAAATGACCGATACCATAGAGCATTACAAAAATAGTCATTTTACAACCTCCAGTGAACTTCAGGCCAGCTGCAGTGTGATTGATCGCAGCTCTGCTCGCTGTTCTAACAAAAGCAATTGGATTCCCCTCTCAAGTAGTCATAGGTATAATCAACCCAGTTCTATCAGTTCAGAGGATATGATACGAACGTTAGCGCATGGCATGGCACTCAGCGGATTTAATTATATTGCGCCCCTGACTAGATCTCAAAAACATTACAGTAGTGGCGTGTTTCCGTGTAATTCTATACGATCAGTATCCTCTAGTACAGTACCTTTATGGTCTCAAGAAAATCATCCCCCTAGCTTGGATGAACCGGGCGACATACATCTTCCCGGCGAACTCGAACAAAATGCCTTCCGCGAGGATGTCATTTCTTGTCAGGATGCAAATGCACCAGGGCCATCTAAGAGGCAAAATATAGGATCATCGTTAGAAAATGTTAAATCCTTTAGTACCCCGAATGACAATATAACCCTCATCCATCCAACCACTTCGAGTGGCCGATCGCGTTCTTTGTGGGGCCCACCGACGCGCGTCTCTATGCGTTCTGATAATAATGTCGGACCACCTTCCATTAGTAACCATGAGGGTTTCTTTGTGACAGCCCCTCCACACAAAGAGGACGAAAGAGGAGTCATCGCAGCAATAAATCCAAACAACGTATCGGATTCCTCGAAGCAACCTTCGCTACCCTTTCCACCTCGCATATCCCGAACCGCTATCCGAAAAGAAGCCAGCAAACAAATTCGACGTTCCTCTTCTGAACCTGGTGACTTGTTATTTCGTGAAAAGACCACCTCGACCTCATTCTTCCCACTGCGTGGAAAGTTATCCCTGGTGGACCATTCCCCTCCACTCGCCCCGCAGACCGATCCACGCGAATTAAAAGAAACAAAAAATGGAAACTCCAAATCGGTCGTTGGATCGGATCCTCCTCCCACCTCGCCATGTTGGACCTCACGGAATGGCGCTTTACACGAGTCCTCCCCCCTCGCATGGGGTCAATGGCGAGGTTCGATCACTCACGGACGGGCCTTGCGCAAAACTAATTTTTTAATCCGCTTGACGACCTGCGCATCCTCCGGGGACTCCACCTCGACCCCATCGGGCTATCGAAACCCCCCGCAAAGCCCCAAAACCCCATCCCCGTTAGTTCTCACGCGGCCCTCCGGACCCCCTCGCGATCTGAACGTAAACGAACAGAAAGATCCTCTACGGGGGGAGGAACATCACGAAAAGCGATTGGTTGAGCCTTTTCCACGTCAATCCTGCATAAATTCGGGCGTGGTTTCCCAACCCGCCCAGGTCACCTCCGCCGTACTTCAACAAATCTCCATCCGAGGCCAGCGTTCAAACACCTGCACCTTCGGGTTTGTTGTGGTCCCCTCTCCCCAACAAATCGGACACCCCCCTCAAATTAAAAAAAATGAATTTCTCGTAAAACCGCCCAATTCACCTTGTAGACAATTGGAATCGAAGAGTGGGGGGATGCGGGGTTCATCTTTCACTACGTCTTTTTTGCATCTTTCGCGGAATTCCACGCGAGGGTGTGAGGGGGCAAAAGGAAATGAATCCCCTTTGCCATTGCCTGCGGCGACGTGGGGAGGAGCGATCGCGAGCTTCCCCACAGCAGTCTCCCTCGACGAGGATAGAGATTTCCCCTCGGAGCTCTCCCCACCCCATGAAAATCCTGCGAGTTTGGCAAGTTTCACGAACTTTGAAAACTTGGAAAGGCTGGATAAGTGGGAATGGAAGGACCCCAACGAAGCCTTCGAGGCCGAGAAGTTGGGGATGAACCCCCCAAACGGGGTCACTCGTCGAAATTTGGAGTGTTCCGTCGTTTCTGTAATCGATATGGGAATGGGCTACGAGGAATTCCGCACCCAGTCCCCTTTAAACGGCATTCGACGGACTTTCCCCCAACCCCAGTTGGAGGTGACCCCGTTAAGACTACCCATAGAACCCTTACCAATGATCTTTCCGGAAATGCTCTCGTTAGACCACCAATCCACCTCCACCACTTTCGGATCGCGCGAAGGGCGGATGGAGCGGATTTTGCGAAGTAGTGGAATTGTGATGTCGGCCGCGAGCGCAGCAGCCGCGGCCGCAACGAGTTCGAAAATAAATAAAAAGCCATCGCCACTGGCGTCCCCCCTTTGTGCATCAATTTCGTGCGAAACAATTCAACACGAAGGTTATACCACGAGCTCCCACACGACTTTTTCAACCGAAACCTTCTCCTCGAGAAGTGGGAAAGGCGCCCAGTCGTGTCGAACGATCGGGGAGTCGAAAAGTAATAATTTGGGAAAATTATTTACTACACGGCAAGGTCCAGTGAAAGTCCCATCCTTTGTGAGTCCTGTAGATGTCGAGGCTTTGTTGGATGCCGCGGAGGAACGAATGCGCAAGTCGGGAACCCGAATCGTCCAGCTTAGCTATTTAAGCGATGGTATTAAGACTTTTCCAAAAAGTTTTGTGATCAGGCCTGAGTCCTCGGGGGTCGAGACCTCGGCGAGTTGTATCTTCTCATCATCCTGCCCAAAGTCATCTCTGGATGCCACCAAAGCGGGGATGGGGGCAGACTCTTCATGTGTGAAAAATACCAAGAGGATAAACGATGGAATTCATATTAAGAGGGATGAATACGAGGGTAGTATGTCAATTTCTCAACAAAACTCCATCGATGTTTCATTAACATCGTTTGAGAAAGATTAAAGTCAAAGAGAATTTTAAAAAATGGTGTAATTAAATCATCCCATTATATATCTATCATATTATTAGGCGAAAAAAGGTGTGGGTGTGGAAAACAAACGCTTAGGATTTAATTTATTTGGGGTTTGTTCTCGTAATTATAAGAATGTGGGTAAAAGTTAGTTAAACCACTCAAGAAATTAGTCAGGTCATCGTGATAATGCTCACTAGCTTATTTCTAAACATATATATATATATATATGTATGTATAGAAAGAGAATGTGCCAAGCTTTATGTTTGAATAAATAAATATGAAGTTAGCTTGACTTACTCCTTTAATTAATGAGACTAATTCCGTTTTGCTCTTTGCAATAGATCCAATACTCAATATTTCATATTTACAACACCGTTCATTGATGGTTTGGGGATAATAATAATAATAATAATAATAATAATATGCTACCTATTACATGTATTCATACCCATACTAGGCTGTTTTTTGGGGAGGAATGATTAACAAACATTTATTGCTCTGTTTCCTGCAGTTAACCATCGTTATTTGCTTGAGCGTTTTGGATTCTCGGCCTGTTTGTATTTTTTTAGGGAGCTTTGGTTATACACACACTTTATTCAAGCTTGCTTAATGCTATCGCTTTCAGCGACTATGAAAAGACTGTTAAATAAAATGGATAAAAACTGATAGTTCAAGCTGGGGACAATCAGTAAATTTGAAGGTGTAAATGCGCGCATACATATGCTTCACATATAATTCTGTATTTTACCTTCATGTAATATTCTTTTATTGCATACCATTCGTAAGTAATTATATATGATACCTATTTCCCCACCATTCTCTCCCCATGAATGGACTTTTTTTTTTACCTTAGGAATGTTCTATTATCTAAATTAAAATTACTTGGTGACTTGTATTGTATTTTCTTCAATATAAGCAATGAAGTATATTATAAGAGAAAGAATAACAAAAGGTATGTGTTTTGGGAGACCATTTACAATACACACAGTTTTATATCCGAACTTTTTGCATTAATCGTTTTGTAAAGTTTCACAATTTTCACATGTCGTAAGACTTTTGAGCTGAATATGTTTTTTTTCTATCATTTCAATGCATAACTTAGTCATTGTATATTACTTTTCGAAATAGGTAATCAAGACACCAAAAAATGATGACCATTGTTCATTTGTGAATGCACAAAACATAGAATTTAATGCTACTGTAATCTATCAAACTAATTGTTTTTATGAATCATTGCAAACTATCCTCTTTTTTTTCTTTACTAGAACTTTATATAAGTGGCATTGTGAAAAAAAAGTGAACAAACTCACTGAAAAGAATCGTTAAAACAGATGTGGTTGTGTTGTATTGCATGACTATGTCAATTTTGATTCATGATGAAAAAGTAAGCAGCATATCTCTATAATACCAATCAAGAAAAAACGTAGAAACCAATTGATGCTTACTTTCTTCGATGTTGCCTTACCTTGCACTCGACTTCCTCCACACCTTATACTAGTCGGATCTATCATGGACATTCATCTGGGTGAGTATAGTAGTCTTCAATGGATATCCTAATCTCTCCCCAAGAAAATCCCCATGCGTGTGGTACAAATAAATAAACAATCTACCGCGCTGGTAGTCCCTGCCAAACTTTTCTTTTCAATTCTATTTGGGAACTTTCTTGTGAGCACTCACGGAATATTTTGGGGCCCCCGTTAGTGAGCCCTGTTCCAGACTTTGAATATTTCGTTCAAACCCCACACCAATATCCATCTGCCAACCCAATCATCCTACATTTCTAGATGGTAGAAAGATAGCGCTAATGCGTCTGCCGCGAATAACCTCGCAGTGTCAATCATGGCATGACCTTTGGATGGAAAATTTTAGAAGCCTCGATGCGCCGCTTATCAACGCAAGGAAAAAATGAACCATGAGTCAAAAATAATCTAAATTCTAAGATATACTGTCAAATGCATATGAAATTGGCTTTGCTAGGGAACGTAGCTCAAACAATAAGTTCACGTATTACAGTATTGATTATATTTTGGTTTATGGTTTGTCTCGATAAATTCTCGGAATATCCGGAGGACGAAATTATTAACGATACCAATTGTGGGGCTTCGACGGAAGCTGAGACGACTAGTTATTTTTTTAAACGATATGTGAAAAAACTAATGTTTTTTTTATAATGAATTTAGAGCAGTAAAAATGTGAATTATTGTCATTCTTGATGAACAGACCCTCCCAGATCCGTGAAAGTGTTTTGAGGCTCCGCTGGAGGTCATTTCCAACGTGATGAAATTGATCCAACTGCATGGAGTTGGGCCTATCGTTGACAAGGTCTGTGGGAGGATGTACATGGAATTTTCCTAGCTATTCAATGCCTATTCAAATGCGTGCGGAATATGTTTTCCCAAACACACCATTGAATATAACTGACATATATGATGCATTGTGTTTTACATTCTCTCGCACTGACCAAAACAATAGCATGACCCTTCAGTCTAGTTGGAAACGCGAAAATTAGGCTTTGAAAGGTAGTTCACACTTCACTTTATATAGCGTCCTAAAGTTTAGAAATAAAAAAAGGCGAATCAAATCCGTCAATAACCATAAAGGGGGGGGAAAATATCCATAACAGAGGCAAACTTGACATAACAACATGAAAACAAGGGCCACTAACCTAAGTCCAAATGCCAAACCCTGGGCACCCCATAGCGGTGTAACAGCCCACACAAACAGTGGGGGTCACAACCACCACAGCAACAACAACAGTAACCACCACCACAGTAACAATCACAGCCACAACAATAGTAGTCGCTCGCACTACACACAACACAGAAGTGGTGGATTCCCCCATCCCCACAGCGGGGGAAGTGGAAACGCCAACCAGCCGCGCAACGCCTCGACAAACCCCCCGAACCCACCTTTTTGGTCCCCATCCCAGACATCAACCGGGCAAAAGCAGCCCCAACCCCAATCTCAACATGCACGGCCGAAGTTCAGCCCGACAGCAGCGAAACTTTTTGTCGGGCAATTGCCATTTGAGTGTACGGAGGAGCGAATGGAGAATCTTTTCCGTGCGTACGGGACGGTGGAACATATTCACATCCTCCGCGATAACAGTAATCGCAGCCGTGGGGCCGCCTTCGTAACCTATTCGACCGTTCAAGAGGCTGATACCGCCATTTTTACCCTGCATAATAGATACCGCATGCTCACCAACCGCGCTATCCAAGTGAGCTACGCAAAAAACAGCCCGAATATCTCCCGTTTCGGTGCGTGCAGCGCGCTGGAGGTTCATGAGTCATTCCCGACCAACCCCGTCCCGGACGTCGCTGCGGCGGTTCGCGCGCAAGCCAATGACTTTTAAAGGGTTCATCTATGGGGTGAAAAAACTCTTGTATGGATCCATGCGTGTATTATATACATAGTCTTATTCGACCATCGGTGTTTGTACATTCTTGAGACTATTTGCTTACATCCTTGTTATGAGAAAAAAACACTTTCAAGGTCGAGTTTGAAGTGCGTGGAAACTCGATGGTGGTGGTAGTGGTGTAATTAAAGGTAAATGATTGTTTGCTGTTTATTATTTTCGATTTCAATCGTTTACCTTACATGTCGCCTAGCATTACAAAACTCTTTTAACTGAGGTCAAATTACAGAACAGGAGAGGAATATTTATGCAAGGCTGGAAATAAATATAATACTAACCAATTTTAGACAGTTTTTTGCTGAATTTACTTGCTGTAAATGGTTCTTTGCATTACTGTACTTGTGCTTGTTTTTATAGTATGTTTGCTCTAATTTCACGATAGTAGTGGTCCAATGGCCTACATACATTAGAAAGATGTGTTGATTCAAAAAAAATGGGGAAGTTTGAATAATTTCATCTAGAGAAATTTTTATTGACATTAACACATACAACTCCATTGAGTGATATGGGGGCAATTTCTGCATTAATATAATTTTTATGCGTAAGCCTTATTAACCTTTGATCCTGGAGCAGTCATTACTGCATCAAATTCTAAGGATCGTATGCATTCTGATTACGCATTTTCATTCCTTTTTATAGTTGTCTTAAAAAAAATGTAGTTTAAGTATTTCATTAGTGAATTCTCCCTCCTCCTCCCTAAAGGAAAAAGGGACACGTCATATGAATTGACAGAAAATGTGGAACATTACTTTTTGATTTTTTGACCTCTCCTGGTTCGACATGGCTGTGGGGGGGAATTAATTCAAGTAATAATGGAGATCTTGAACTCTCAGCTGTCGCTCATTAGTATACTTAGGTTTCCGGCACCCAACCGCTATTGTGCTCCTTCACCACATGCTTTGTACTTGTGGGAATCACTTGCGCACGATGGATACTTCACTTGCCCTGCTGTCTTAAATACTTCTTATTGACATCATAGTCAGATAAAGATGTACAAATCATTTAAAGCGTTTAACATCGAATAAAACAGTGGCTCTGTTTCGTTTTTTATACTAATGTCTGCGCTCTTAACAGATATGTGCATCGTGCCAAACCTACAGTATTGTCATGTATATAAATATAGACATTGCGTCCTTTAACTTACTAAACATAATTCAATTGCTTACCGCTTTACGGTTCAAAATTAACATATTCAAGGTCTCACCACCAGAAGGATCCGGTGTGTAGATACACACACACCGAAGGTAAACATCTACGAATTTTAGGAAACATTACAGGCCTCGCGTGATACCTTCCTCTCGTCTTTGATCTGGCAGTGTGAGACTTTAAAATGCGCCAAACCTCATCAGATGCTATCCATCCTATCCCACACCCCGCACAGATCCACCATGAGTCTCATTCATTGAGCACAGCAAAAAAACGACACGGGACGGCAATGTTCTCACTCACAAATAATGGGACCATCCCATCCGCCAAAAATGATGAAGTCTACAGCATCGCCGCAGTGTTGAACAACAACGTAAAGGAAATCGGCGTCGCGTTTCTTGAATTCCCCTCCTTTGCAATTTCCATTGCACAGTTCGGCGATACTTGCTCCTACTCCAAACTGAACACCTTGCTCTTCACACAAAACCCGGTCGAAGTGCTCCTTTCCAGCACAACAATTCACGATCCATTTACCCGCCTCTTGACCGAACGCTTTGGTGCCGAAATCACCTTCACGAGCATCCCACGAAAATATTTCGACGTGGAGGATGGTGTGGCCCGACTAAATGAGCTTAAATCGACCCCAGAAACCACCCTTTCCATTGAGGACACCGATCACTATCTGAGCGTCGCATCGGCGAATGCTCTCGTGCTGTACGTGGAAGGGATCACCCACCTGCAGCTGCGAACCGGGTCAATTCGAGTGCGGTGTATTTCGCTCGACCACTATGTCGATCTCTCGCGGTCTACGGCGCGTTCCCTTCACATTTTGCCCCCAACCAGCTGTGAGGCGGAGAGTTCAATACCCCGGCCGCATCCTCCAACTTCACAGCCGCCCACCCACCCATCCGTCAAAGGTGATAATAGGGGGAGGGAACCCCGGCAGACCGCCATCAGGGGAATGGCCTCAACAGGCCCGCGGCTGGGGAGCCTAATGGATGCCCTACCCCGACCTCGCACCGCCATGGGCAGACGTTTTCTTCGCTCGAGCATTCTGCAGCCTTTGAAAGACTGTGTGTCGATTCAACATCGGCACGACGCGGTGGAATGGTTGGTGACCGATCCGAAGCGTCTCGGGATTCTATTGCAGCCGCTTCAGCACTTAGCGGATATTGATCTGGAAAAAATTACGGCCATCATCGCGCTTAACCCAACGCAGCCAAGCGATGAAAATCGCCGGCGGTTGTTGGTCTCACTTTTGACGTTTTGGGACGCCTTGGAAGTCCTCCGATCACTCCAATGTTGTCTGCGATCCCTTTTACCGAACTTAACAGAAATCAATCATGAAAGCAACACAAACGACTCTGACACGCAACCCTTTCTCTTTCACCAATTATCACAAACGCTTGAAGCTTGTCTTCTGGACGAAATTCTTGCCATGTTCAATCAGTTTATGGATCCCACAGTACGTGAACTACGCGAGCGAATCCCCAGAATGGGAGAAGTTGATGAAACGACAGCCGCAACATCCGGCGGTGCTTCTGGATTGGGATCCCGTGGCAACACTGAGGTCCACGTTCATGGACAAAAAAAAAAGAATTTTACCTATCACAATGTACTTCAGCTTATGCGGATTGGATTTGCCATCCAGGCCCCGACTGGAAGCGCCTTGGATGTTGCTCGCAGTATGCTTTGCCAGCAAATACAAAACATAACAGACTACCAAGTGCAGCTCGCGTTGCAGTACCAACTCAACACACTAAAACTAGAAGCAGATCCTGATCACATGTTTTGTCTCTCTTACTTGAGTTCAGAAGAGCCAAAAACACGCGGCGGTCCTTTTATTCACAAATACGCCGGTGGTAGCCACTATCAGCTTTACCTTCAAGCCCTTTGTGATTTAAAAAATGAGGGGGATGAACTCTGTCCTTACGAAGATACGACTGCTGCTCCACATCTGAACCCGCTTCCTAATATAGGCGAATCCCGCGGCAAGCGAAAATCGACAAAGGTATACTGCACGACTAGTGAGCTGATAACACTGTGTTGTGCCGCGATTCGTTGCAATAGCGACATTTTTCTGAAGGAGATTCAAGCCGCGCAAGGGCTGTTGGCCGTTCTTCACGGTAATTTGGGTCGCATTCAGGCTCTCACAGAAGCTGTGGCATTGCTGGATATGTTGCTGTCTTTCGCCACATACTCCATGATAAATCACAGTTCGCGCCCGTTGCTTTGGGACCAGGAAAGCGGAGCCACTACAAACCCATATCGCCATGCTACGGCAAAATCTGATGGAAACAATCCAAATGGGATGACTTTCTGTCTCTTGAATGCCTACTACCCATCCGTTGTTTCGTGCGCTTCATCACGGAACACTTCGTTGGTACCGAACACCGTGACATGGGCTCCGGAAGTCTCCGCAGTTATTATTACGGGGCCTAATGGAGCTGGCAAGAGTCTGCTCCTGAGAATGGTTGGGCAAATCTTTGTGCTTGCTCAGTGTGGGTGCTTCGTTCCGGCGGAGTCAGCTGAGCTCTTCATTACTGATCGCATCCTCGCACATATGCTTTGTGATGAGCTGCCTTCAGTATTGTGTTCTTCACAAAAAAGGGAACTGATGGAACTTGCTGAAATATCGAACGTAGCAACATCTCGCAGTGTTGTGCTTATGGATGAACTTGGCCGCTCTATGCTTTACACGGAAGGCTTCACGCTTGCATGGGCCGCCGTAATGTGGGTAAGAAGCGAAGGAATTCATAGCCTATTTTCAACCCATTTTGCAGGAATTACAGAAATCCCGCACGTATTCCCCGACACGATAAACATGCATTTCGCATTGGAATATGAAAAAAAAGAAGCAAGCGAAGCGGCTCATAGAACCACTATTTCGATCTCACACCATCTGAAGTCTGGCGCATGCCCAGACTCCGCTTACGGGCTGCAGGTTGCAGCGAACCTGGGTCTTTTGCCAGAGGTCCTGTCCGTCGCCCGCTGTCTATATAAAGTACATCTTCGAGAAACAAAGAACTTGGCCCTGCTCAACCGTAAGGAGTGATAAAATTATTTTTTAGTTCACGATACCTCTCTGCTTGGGAGAAATCGCATTAGCGATCCTCCAAAATAAATTGACAGTTTTACAACTTATGAATAATGAAAGAAAACTTAAAAACCCTGAAAATAATGTCTAAACTCATTATCTCAGAATTACTTGGGAGTAGAAAAGAAATATCGGCTCTTCTGATTTATATGTTATATGAGCCTCCTAAAGGTGCAGTAAAAAAAATCAAGAGATATATATTCTGCCCAGGAATGAATTCTATGCAACAACCTCCTCCCACCTGTTTAATAAGTGCATTGGGTGCGGCGATTCTATCCAGTTCCTATTGTATGTAACGAACATTTATATGGAACTAT